TACGTTGAGACATTGAATGCGTATGTAGCTGCTTAAGTTTTTTACTTTGGGTGGTGTTATGGACTGAAATGTGTCCTCCTCAAAATTCATGTTGGCCCTAACCGGTTTGGCTCAGTGGATAGAGCGTCGGCCTGTGGACTCAAGGGTCCCAGGTTCGATTCCGGTCAAGGGCATGTACCTTGGTTGCGGGCATATCCCCAGTAGGGAGTGTGCAGGAGGCAGCTGATGGATGTTTCTCTCGCATCAATGTTTCTAACTCTCTATCCCTCTCCCTTCCTCTCTGTAAAAATTCAATAAAATATATTTTAAAAAAAAATTCATGTTGAAGGCCTAACTGCCAATGTGACTATTTTTGGAGATAGGGCCCTAAAAGAAGTAATTAAGGTTAAATGAGGTTATATGGGTGGGTCCTAATTCTTTAGGGCTGGAGACACCCGGGATGTGCATGCGCAGAGACAAGGCCATGTGAGGACACAATGAGGAGCTTTCTGTAGACCAAGGAGGCAGGTCAAACAACCTTGCTGGCACTTTGACCTTGGACTCCAAGTCTTCAGATGCAGAAAACGAATTTCTATTGGTTCAGCCACTCAGTCTGTGGTACTTTGTTATGGCAGCCCCAGCAAACTAATAAAGCTGGCAAACAAAACATTCATGTAAACTTGTTCTCATATAAAGGCTTATTCTTTTTTAAAAAATTTATTTATATTGATTTCAGAGAGGAAGGGAGAGGGAGAGAGAGAAACATCAATGAGAGAGAATCATTGATGAGCTGCCTCCTGCACTCCTCCCCCCCCAATTGGGGAATGAACCCACAACTTGGGCATGTGGCCTCGACCGGTATGGAACCTGGGACCCTTCAGTCCAGGCTGATGCTCAATTCACTGAGCCAAACTGGCTAAGGCAAGGCTTATCTTATATAATAAAAGCCTAATATGCAAATAGTCCCCTCAGGAGGTCATTGGACCGGGAGTTCAACCAGGAGACTGGAAGTTCGACTGCTGGCTATGATGTGTGCTGACCACCAGGGGGCAGTGACCAGTGGTGGGTGGGGGGCTGCAACCTCTCGCCAGCTACATGGGGGCGGGGGTGATGGGGACAGAGGTGCGGTGAGAATGCGGGGTGTTTGCCAAACTCGCTCTCATTCCCCGTTACCTCCCCCAGGACAACAAGGCTCACGCTCTGGGGAAGCCCCACTCTCAGGTGCTGGACGCCCTCGAGGAGCTCGCCCCACACGCGCACAGCGTCTTCTGTCTTCCAAGTGAGCCAGGCTGCAGCCACTGGGACTGTAGGGGCAGGTCAGGCTCCCTATGGGTTTGCTCAGTAGCCAGTCTGCGAGGCCAGCTGGGAGACAGCACACTACCTGCCTGGCTTCCATGTGGCGCTACTGGGCAGCCCAGAGGCCCATGCTGCACCCAGGCCTATGGTGTTCAGCCGCACTCACTGCATCTCTGCATGGGGCCTCGGGTGCCATGACTCAGGTGGAGGGGGGCGTGTGGGGGCTCAGGGGCCCAGGTGCTGCCCAAGGTCCAGAGGTCAGCTGGGATCTGCCTTCCCATGCCTGGCGCTTGTGCCTTGATTGACAGCCAGGCCTAGGGACCACACCCGTGCACGAATTTCGTGCACTGGGCCTCTAGTTCTTTTAATAATTGAAACATGGAAAATGACAGAGTTTGAAAAACACCGACCACTGTGGGCATCTCATCCATATTTACTGCAATTTTCTCAATACTCATAGTTTGGTGTAAGAATCTTGCATATCTTTGATTGAATCTGATGTTTTATTGCTGCTATAAATGGTATCTTTAAAGATTTTCTTTTTCTAACCAATGTTGCCGGTATATAAACCTTACAAAATTCACTTATTAATTCTAAGAGTTATCAGATTATTTTGAACTTCCTACATGCGTAATTATGTCATCTGTAAATAATGACATTTTTTATTTCTTACTTTCTGACCCTCATACCTTTTACCTCTTCCCTGCCCTTACTGCACTGGCTGGCTCTACAGTAGAATACTGAACAGGAGCAATGAAAGCAGGCCTCCTTGTCATGTTACTTCTAGTTTATTTCTGAAACATATTTTTAACTCTAAAATTTCCTGAGCTGTTAGCTCTTGTTTTATTTCTCCCTGTTGCTTGCCTAGCTCATTTTTGAACTTTCCCAATTTTGATGTTATGTTGTTCTTAGGTTCTATCATTTCTGAAATTCCTTTAGCATTTTAAAAAACATTATTTTCCTCTGCTTTGTAAATGTTTCTTGGCTATCTTCATTTTCTGTGGGTGTGTTAAACAGATTATCCTGTGTGTGTGTTTTTAAGAGCGATTTAGTCATGTTTAAGTGACATGGTTTTATCTATATTTTTCAAAGATTCCTGGGTAGGAGGTGAGGTGAGTCAGGCATTTCCGTTTTGTGGTTCTAGGGTTCTCTCTCCTGCAAGTTACTAAACAGTATTAGATAATACGGTTTTCTGTGTTCTCTTTGGTATTTTCTGACTTGTTTTATTTGGTCCTGTTCTATTCAGTGTCTGAACCTTCTCACCTTTACCCTCAGCGTCCTTCCCTTGTCAATGTGTATTCGATAGCCAATAGTTTCCCCTGGTGCAGGCCTATGTGCGCTCACAGCACTACTTCCTGAGAACCCTGAAGACCCAGGTTGCCCTAGCACCCTCATACCTTTCTGCAGCTCCTTTTACTAGGATACAGTAATTTATTGCTGGACGGCCCCTTCCCAATTGTGATCGTGATTTTTGGATCTACCGACTGAGCTTGCCACCACTACTGTGGATTCCTCCTTTGGGGCTGAGTACATGTTGCCAAATTCTGGGTTCTTTGGCTCTTACAAACATCACAAGTTCTCCCTTACTTTTTCTCTGCTTGCTCCTCAAAGCTCTTGTTCCCACATGATCCTGTTGCTATTGATGGTTTTAGTCAGATTCTAGGATTCACAGGGACAGTCCAGCACCTAATTTTAGTGAAGATGGGGCCACTGAGTTTTTTTTTCTTTTGCTATAGGATAGCTCCATGGGGATTTGGGAGATTAAAAGAAGACCCACTGCTGCTGTCATCATGCCTCCTATAATTGATTTTTTATTTTTAAATGATTTATATTTTTCTGTTTACATTATAATGCCTAGGACAGGACAGACTATTATGCTTTAGTAATGACTAAATTCAAGTTTTGTGACTAAATACATACATTTATTTCTTGTTCATGTCAGTCCAATGAAGTCAGCAGGCTCTCCTCTCTAAGCAGTGCCTCATGAGGTCCCCGCTGTTTCCATTTTGCAAACTGTGTGTTTACAGCCAAGCAGGAAGCTGGGAGACTGTTCAGTCATGACCACTGATTGATGTCAGTGAGTTTTACTGCCGCATCTAAAGTCACACATCACTTGTCCCCAAAGCTCTGTGACTGGTCAGAACGCAGTCACATGGCCCCAAACTAACTGCACCGTAGGCTTGAAAACAAAGGACACTGAGAGTCTTCGCCACCACTCTGCACAGGCGCCCCAGCACCTCTGGGAGAGAAGGTAGACTGTAAAACAAGATGCTGCCTGTCCCTTCACATATCGTAAAGGACTTGCAACGTAATCTGATCAAGTAGCATGTCACCAGCATTTTAAAATAAAGTTTTAATTCCATTAGTATAGTTTTTTAAATGTTTAAAAATAAATTGTGAATCAAATTGTTTTCAAGTCTGTAATACACCATGTTTCCACAGTCTTCAATTGCTGCCAAATTTGGGGGAGAATAAGCAGCATATAATTAAATAAAAATTAAAATGTCTCCAATTATAAAGGTTCCAGTTAAATATACCTTTTAGAATTACAAAGAATTAACTATACCACTATGATCTAAAGCAAGAAAATGGTGGTTTGTCATCATTTACAAACATAAATGTGTGCACAAACTTTCTAGATATTCAATATATACACCCGGAGAAATCTCGCCTTAAGACAATGATGGTTTTTATTCCCTTTAGTCTACCATTTGACACTATAACGTACTCACTGAAAAAATTAACACAACATTTAAATAACAATTAAGTTCATGAAAATTTACAAAATATAACCAATGTACTCTGACTTAAAATCACATCTTAAATATTTCAACTTAACTTTTCTGGCCTGATCAGACCTTTAAAAAATATTTACACACTGTTTTAATTTTAGGATATAAAACTGTAGCAATTTACTAAAGTTTTCATTATAAAAATTAATATAGCAATTCTCAAAATACTGAAAACAACCGTGTTATGAAAGCAGTACTTACATCATAACAACTTAGTTCTTTTAGAACACATCTTCAAAGGCACATTTCAATTAGTAGTATTTATCTAAAGATAGTAGCTTGGGCTTTAAGCTTCCAGTTTTCCATCACCTCAACCTTTCGATGATGAAGGATGGGTGGAGGTAGGAGAACATTTCTACTTGGACAGCAGTACTCTCACTCATCATGGCCACTACCACAAACCACCCAGTTTAGTCCAAGAGGTGGTGTTATTTGTTTGGAGCCTGAAGAAGAGAATGAAACTTCTGCTTCTTTGGAACTACATCTTCACATTGGGTTCATCTTAATTTAAATCACTTGGTGAGTTATAAGTGCTACAAATTCCCATGATGTCAGATATATTGATATGTAAAATCAAATATAAATGATTTTGTGATTACCTCTGTTATGGTCCACTTTAATTAGGGCTGATATTCTAAATTTGACTGTAATTATGACATTGAGATTTTCAAGTCCCTTAAAACACTACTGTTATTTAAATATATATATTTTTTATTGATTTCAGAGAGGCAGGGAGAGGAAGAAAAAGATAGAAACATCAATGGTGAAAGAGAATCACTGATCGGCTGCCTCCTGCATGCTGCCCACTGGGGATCGAGCCTATAATCCAGGGCATGTGCCCTGACGGGGAATCGAACCTTGTCCGCCTGGTTCATAGGTCAGTGTTCAATTACTAAGCCACACACACTGGGCACACTACTATTATTTTTAATAGTTTATGTCCTAGGACCCTAAAATACAATCCGACATGCAATTTGAGGTATGGTTTAATTTTCAGTGAAGTTTAATACTAACCAAAGTACTAAATTAAACAAGATTAGTATTTTGGGGTAGTACTAATTTATTATGTAATTGATCTGATGCAAAGAACAAAAACGAATTTTTAATGCTACTTTGGAATTTCAAAAACATTATGAATCTACTATAATTTTATATAATTTCCCTCAAGTCTCAGTTGAGTGTTTCCATTTTTTAAAGGTGATATCTTTAGATCTTTTTCTCACTATAGTTATATAATTGAGCAAAAATATTCTTAAGTACAAAAAAGAAAATGGTCATCTATTACTTAACCAAGATATACTTTTCTGGTCCCTCACATTGGTCACTTTAGGGGCACTTATTCAAGTTCTAAAATAGCAGCTTTTTAATTAAGGCAGCATTGCTTTATTCTTACCTGTTTTTCTATTAACTAATCGATTAGAGTTCAGAAGACCAGTTTTACACTCAAAAGGCCTTTATAATGTAAGAAGAGTTAACATGAACATTCTTCTCAATGTTTAAAAAGTATATAAAAAGTTATTTTATTCAAAGTCAACAAGTACCTTATTTTTCTATTTGGAATTCTAAAGTAATTACACTCATTTCAGAATGTGTAAACCATGAAATTACCTTTTAAACTAACATCAACAACAAAGTACACGTTTTCCTACAAAAATACTACATAGGAGATATGGCACTTTTTCCCTGAAATAAGGATTTAATATTTGGACAAAAAACTGTAAACTTTTGATTACATTCAAAACATAACCTTTTAAAGACTTGTATTACTTGAGGCTTTGGCAACTGAAGCATTTTAACAACACAATGATGCCAACAGTTTGTTCTCTTATATGTGCTACCAGGAGGTAAAAAAAGGCTTCCTGCAGTGGAAGGTCTGGGTGAAGGAACTGTTGAGCTGGGAAATCCGACCCTTCGCTCTCCCTGGACTGTGTTCCACAAGCACACAAGGCATCTGTACCAGCTGGACAGGACTCTTCCCTTCCCTCAAAGCCTGGGCCAGGTTTAAGATCTGTGAAAAGGAGATATTTTTACCAGTTCAAAAAAGATAAAAACCCTTCAGTTCACTGACATTAGTTTAACCATTTATTCATAATTATAATTTTTATTTCATCTGTTTACGCTCAATAGATTATGATGAGGATAACTGCCTTAAATATATATTGTATGGACGTATGTATGTTTATACATACACACACACATATATATATATATACACAAGTGCACAAATTTAAAATTAAATAACTTTTGCCAACTGGTACCTTTAAAATATTCTAGAATGTCCAAGAAAAATGAAATCAGAGACTGAATAAACACATTCTTGGCATAGAACCTAAACAAATACTGGTCTAAATAGTCTGGTTTTAAAACTAAATACTTGCCTTATCCATTCATTCAACAAATACATTTACTGCAAGCAAACTACATGGTAGACACTGTTCTAGTGTTGGGATAGAACACTAAAAAAGCAAACCAAATCCCTGCCTTCATGGAGCTCCATTTTAGCAGGAGAAGGAATCGATAAACATTATGAATAAGTAAATTACACCATGTACTAGAAGACAAAAGCGCCATGAAAAAGCAAGATGCATGGCCAGTGGGCAAGTGGGTTACAGAATTGGAGAAGGCAGCCATTTAAAATAAAGATTTAAGAGCTAACTCTTAAGTAGGAAACATAAACTAGGAAAAGGAAGAAGTTTATACATGTTTTCAAGCAAAAATAGAAGCATGGAAAAAGGAGCGCTCTTTTATTTTTAATTTTTTTTTTTTGGTTAATCCTCACCCAAGGATATTCTTCCATTGATTTTTAGGGAGAGTGGAAGTGAGAGGGAAAGGTAGAGAGATAGAGACCAGGGCCCAGGCCAGGGAGGAGCCTGAAACCAAGGTAGGTACCCTTGACTAGAATCGAACCCTGGACCCTTTGGTCCACAGGCCAACACTCTATCCACTGAGCCAAACCGGCTAGGGCGAGGGCTTTCTCTTGGAAAGCTCACGTTTTATGGAAAGTACACTAGTACTGGAAGTAGGGTTGAAATAAATAAATAACTTTTCAAGTTAGTGATTGACTTGAGAGAAACATTACTTTGTTGTTCCACTTTTTTTTTCTCTTATATTTTCTGAGGTCTAGTGTTTCATCTTGGCACAGGGGAAAAATAAACATTTTGCCCTAATGCTATTTACTGTAAAATTCAAAACACAGTTTATCTTTAACTTTCCTAAACATTACTAGCCCAGATTTTAAAAGAAATTTCTTCATTCTAGTTTTGAGTTCCATTCCACATCTTTTTTTAAAAATATATTTTATTGATTTTTTAGAGAGAGGAAGGGAGAAGGATAGTTAGAAACATTGATGAGAGAGAAACATTGATCAGCTGCCTCCTGCACACCCCCTACTGGGGATGTGCCTGCAACCAAGGTACATGCCCTTGACTCTTCAGTCCACTGGCCGACGCTCTATCCACTGAGTCAAACCGGTCAGGGCCCATTCCACATCTTTATGTGAAGAATTAGAGCATGTCACTGATTATGTGTATAAAACTAAAGAGTTAGTATAAACGAGGGCAAAAGACTTGGTTGTACAAAGCACAAATCATAAAGTTAATTGGCAAAACTGAAAAGAGGGATTTAAGGGATAATTACAAGTGATAGAAATAACACAAGTAATTTGACTCAATTAAGGAAATAGCTAAATGATGATTCTGTTGTTTGGAACATAGGTTAGTGTTATTTGTTTTTGTTTGTTAAGTCTCTGTTTCATTAAGCACTGACTTATTTTAGAATATAAAAATACTACCTGATTTTTCACACCAGATTTTAAAAAATAGTTAAAACTAGAGAGCTACATAATGATGTACACGGTCAGGTGCCCTGCTCTTTCTGGTTTCAAATAAGTCAAAATCAAATTAAAAAAATTAAATTAAATTAAAACATATAAAGGCATTATTTTATTTTTTTATTTCCCCATATCTCTTTTTTTAATATATATATTTTTTTATTTCAGAGAGGAAGGGAAAGGGAGAGATAGAAACACCAATGATGAGAGAGAATCATTGATCAGCTGCCTCCTGCACGCTCCCCACTGGGGAATCAAGCCCACAACCCAGCATGTGCCCTGGCCGGGAATCAAACCTTGACCTCTTGGTTCATAGGTCAACTGAAGCTCAATCACTGAACCACACCAGCCAGGCTCTTGCCCCCTATCTTGATCCTGTGATTTTTCTATTTTATTATACACATCTGTATAATACTAGAACTCCTTTGTGAATGAGATAGGATATTAATAAATAAAAATCAGATAGAGACTGGTATATCTTTTAATAGACCACATTCAGTAATGGAATATCTCTATAACTTTTCAGATAAGTATTTTAAAATTTAAATTCCTCATGTACCAACTTTAATCAACACTTAAAAAGCTTACAAAATTATTTACAGCTTTTATTTTTTAAAATTATTCCTACGATAAAGATATATATTTAAGGATATGACAATGCCAGAAGATGGAGCATACTGATAAATTAATTTGTTTCCAGCAAAAAAGGTCAAATTCAGGCATAATTATTAATGCTTGAAAATTTAGCTCAAAAATAGTTGGGATGGTAACACTGCAATATAATTACAGCCACTGATCATCTAAGCCCTTCATTCATGCCTGAATTACGGGAAACATCCCTGTGAGGCTCCAGACTCTTCATCCACTGAGTAAACCGCACCCCACTGTCCAGCCTAACTTACAGCAGTTCTTTCTTTTAAATGTTATTACTGATTTTACAGAGAGGGAGAGGGAGAGGGAGAGGGAGCGGGAGGGG